CTGCACAAGGGGATGTTTCCAGGGAAATCTGGAAGAAGGCATTACCATGGGAATCTTGGGCACTGAGCAGATGGCCCTGGGGGGCACAGAAGATAAGCAGGATTTGAAGCACAGCATCTGTTTCCTGAGGGGGTTCGTGGCTGGTGTCTCCCTGCCCGTCACGTGACCCCCTCCTTTCATTCCCTGCTGCTCAAGCACTAGCTGATCACTGAAGACTCTGAAGCTGGCTTGTGATGGGAGATCCCCTCCTATGAATCGATAACTGGGGTCCTAGATTCTACTGGTCTCTTGGAAATGTAGTTAACAGGAGCCTCCCACCCAGGATTTGGTCATCTCTGGGTGTACTGAGGAAATCCAGCCTCTGCACCAGAAAGGCTGGGGACCAGAACTCTGTGGTAAATTTACCTCCCCTGAGGGCTCCCAGCAGGCACTCCTCAAATACCAGCCATGTAGACAGTGGAGAGGTTGCGCCTGCCAGGGCCTGGGAGGTTTGAGGGGGCTAGGCAGTGTATCCTTGGAGCCAGGCTCCCCGCTCCACACCCATTCTACAGCTGCCCCAGGCCTGGGAAGGGATGGAAGTTTCTCTGAGTGGGACACTAGGAAGAGCCAGCAGGAGCAGGGAGCCAAAGGCCAGTAGGCCCTAGAGCCATAGCCACTGCCGATGCCAAGGCAGGAGCTCAGTTGCATCAATGACTGGGTGGAAAGGCAAAGGGAATTCTCCACCCGCCCTCACTCTCCACCAGGCTCGGAAATCCTCGGTCTCAAAATCTGACCATTGCCCATGCACTTCCCCTTCCTCTGTGGCCTGGGGCTACTTTGTCAAGTCAAGAGGGTGGAAAAAGGAAGGACCCAACTGTTCTGTCCAGAAATTTGGAATAGCCGAACATGGCCCGGCCACAGGGGGTGTTTGAAAACCTCTGAGGCAGTCTGTGAGGGACTGTGGGGGCAAGCCCAGCTTTGAGCCTGTGATGAGACAGGACCCAATATTAGGGATAAAAGGCTGGGAAGAGCCGGTCACATGGTCACATGCAAGGAAGGGCCAATGACAGTTGTGGGTCTTCTTGAGGCCGGCTCTGGAAAAGACTCATAGCCAATCTGTCATTTGTATTTCAGTGTTTTGTTGTTTTCTCCACTCTTCCCATGACATTGGTAGTGCAAGGGGCCCTGGGTGATGTCCTTACTGAACCTCTCCCCCCAGCCTCCACATCCTCAGCCCTGAAGTGGGGATACGGACCTACCTCACTTACCTCCCTGCCTCATCATCAGGATTGAGAGGGGCTGTGGGTCGAGCTTAGCACAGAGCCGATGCGTGGTCACCACGGTGTAAGCTGTCACTGTGAGCTACTGTGTCTTATCATAAACTATAAACACAACCCAAAGGGAAGTAAAATTCCATGAAAAAAGTGAAGTCTCATTATGACCTGCCACAAATTGTAAAATCTCTTAATAAAAGTGAGGGTGTGTGGTTAGTGGTACAAGTGTCTAGAAGCGGGTCTGTCCGGCTCCCTACACTCCCTCCACTACATCCAACGTGAGAACAGGGGCAGGGGGACAAAGTCCTGCTTGGAGAGGACCCGAGGAGGGCTTCTGGGATGTGGCTAAGTTCTTGATGTGGGTGCTGGTTACACAGGTGTGTTTGGTTTGTTCAGTCAGAGCTCCCGGGAGGCTCGGCCGTGGAGCGTCTGCCTTCGGCTCAGGTCTTGATCCTGGGGTCCCGGGATCGAGCCCCACATTGGGTTCCCTGCTCTGCAGGGAGCCTGCTTCTTCTCCCACTCCCCCTCTTTCGCTGTGTCTCTGCCAAATGAATAAATAAATCTTAAATAAATAAAATCTTTAAAAAGTGCAGTGAGCTTACACTTCCACATACTTATCTGTGTGTTGTATTAAAAAAACAAATTAAGGGGCACTGTCTCAGGATATAGTCCTATGAATGCACTGGGACCAAAGGGTGGAAGTAAGAAATAGTCTCCAATTTCCATCGCTTGCCCAGAGAGAAGAGAAACAGATTGTGTAAAGAAGATGCCTAGTTTTCCACTGCCTTTTTGATATCTGTGGTATTTCAAAAATATAAGTTGTTTCATTAGGATACTGGTTAGTTGATTGTTTTTAGAGATTTTTCTTATTTTTTAAAGATTTTATTTATTTATTTTTCAGAGAGAGGGAGCACAAGCAGGGGGAGTGGCAGGCAGAGGGAGAAACAGGCTCCCGGGTGAGCAGGGAGCCTAATGCGGGACCTGATCCCAGAACCCTGAGATCACAATCTGAGCCAAAGGTAGACACTTAACCGACTGAGCCACTCAGACACCACAAATGTTTTATTTTTTTGGGTAATCCTTAACACCCAACATGGGACTTGAACTTAACAACCTCGAGATCAAGAATTGCATGCTCTAGCGACTGGGCCAGCCCGGAGCTCTGGTTAGTTGGTTTTTATAAATGTCTTCAGCTGTAACTTCATCCACCAATACCAATAAATCATAACTTAGGTGAGAGGCACTGAGGTTAAAACTAACTTACATTTAACATCTTAACCAAAGGGACGTGTGGGAGACAGAGTCCATTTTCCAGCTCAGAATTTGGGACTCTACCTGCCTCTTGCATTTCCGTATATCCCCAAGAAGAGAACTCAACCCGTAAAAATTAAGGGAGTTCCTGTCACACACCAGGCCCTGAGCCAGGTGCTGGAGACAGAGTTCAGTGTGAACATGACAAAGAAAAGGCAGAGGGGCAGAATCCTGAAGCTGGACAGTGCACGGGCGTGGAAGCAGCGTCAGGTCTGCCAGAGAAGTGCAGGGAAGGCTTCTCAGAGGAGGGGGTACCCAGGCTGAGTTTCCAGAGCTGCGCAGGTATGCCCTAGGCGGACAAAGCATTCCAGGAAAGGGGAACATCATGAGGACAAGGCGAGGGCACGTTCAAGGGGAGCGGTCAAGGGGCAAGGATGGTCAGGGTATTGGGGTTCCACGAAGATGTTCTATAGAGGCCCTGTTGGGAAGGCTTCATGTGCATTCCAAGGAACATGGCCTTTCTGTAGAGATGGGAGCTCCAGGGGGTTACACTGCAGTGACAGGCTGTGCTCTGTGTCGGAGGTCACTCACGCTGCCTATAACTTGGAGGATGAAGTAGAGGCAGGGCTGATGGGAGCTTGGGGGCTACTGCGGTTGCAAGGGGCTGAACTGTACCCGGGGCCAGAGGGTGACGGTCACGTAGGAGCCGGGAGGTGTTAATAGGGAGACAGGATCTGTAGGGCCAGATTCCTGAGGGCTCCGAGGGAGGCAAGTGAGGAAGGAGTGTTGGAGGACTCCCAGGTGTGGGGTTGGGTGAGGCCGGGTGAGGTGGTGCTGCTCAGAGGAGATGCAAGGGAGGCCCACAGGAAGGTGGCTTCTGGACATACTGGGTCTGTAGCTCTAGGAACGACTGATTGTGGCACGTAAGCTGGGGGATGAATCTGGTAGAGACTGGAAACCAGGGAAGGAGAAAAGTGGAGGCTAACAGAGGCGGAGATGGGTCTCAGCCACCCTGAATGCCCATCTCCAGGCTGAGCCAGGAGGACGGAAGTGAGGCGCGCACTGTGGAGTTGTTGTTGCTCTGGGCCTAGGATGCTGAGGGAGGTTCCTGACACGTTCTCCAGGAAGGGGCGCCGAGCCTGGGAGTTGGCTGGGTCTGAGTAAGAGGCCTGAAGGGTACAAAGCAGCCCCCGTAGGGCCCAGGAGAGGGAAGTGGGCAAGTCACAGAGACCTGCCAAAATGGGCATGGGGAACTTGCTAATGGTAAAGCATTGCTCTTTGTTTTCTTTTTACCATTTATTACGTATTAGAGAGAGAGAGTGCTGTGGGGGTGTGGCGGGGGGGATAGGGGGAAGCAGACTCCCCGCTGAACAGGCTCCTCGATGAGACTCATCATGACCTGAGCCAGAACCAAAAGTCAGACACTTAACTGACTGAGCTATCCAGGAGGCCCTTATTATAAATGTTTAACTGTCCCAAGGCTGTTCCTATGAACTCAGAACAAACCGGGGACAAAACCTCAGTCCCTAAAGGCATGTACATTTAGGGGAGATGTTCTTGGTACAGAAACACAGGTGTAACTGAATTGAGAGCCAAGACATGGTGGAAATAGATCTGCGGAGGAGACCGGGGCTTCCTGACGGCTTTTAGGGAAGAAGGCTCTGCCCTCCCATCCCACACTGAGTGGCATGAAGGCCTGTATGTGTCATGCCATCCCTGCCTCGGCAGACCAGCTTCATGGGCAAGCAGGACAGGAAGTGAAAGACTCGACCTTTCTAGGACCACAGTGTGTCATTTCCCATCGTGGGTCCAGCCTGATCTTGTGTCCCTTTTTTCTAAGATATTTTGTGTGCCTACCAGGTAGAGAGGAGTAAAATAGAAAGTTTTGCAAAGCTTAATGTCAGTTCTTTTCTTAAGTTGAGGCTTGGGGGAAGAAGAGAGTCAGTATCTTCTACAACCCAAATCCCAGAACTTCTTTTCAACTAGGAAAGCACTGTATCCATTCTCCCTTGAATGGCTCTTGTAGCTTCCCAGACAGTTGGGATTATTCCTCCTGTAAGAACTTGATGGAGACAGGTAATGGGATTTCTTGTTCATCACCTTTCCCTAGTACCTAGCACAGTGATGGCATTTAAGTCCTCAGTGTTTGCCAAGTTAAGTGAAGGAATAGGATTAATGATGGGGATCTCACAGCCTACATGGTTTGGTTTAACAGCCATCACTGTTGAGCTTAGAAATGTCCTTCTTGTATCTAATCTAGTTGATTCTGGATAGAGAAGATTCCCAATGATATTCTTAGGAGGCCACCTGGCTCCTTAGCCAAAGCTGCCAAAGCTGTCACTCCAAGTCTTGGTTGACAGACTGAATGAATGCACAGTTGGCAAAGGACAGTGGACAGATGTGTGCACAGGTCAAGCACATAGGTCTTGGTTCACCAAAGGTGTGTTCTTTAAAGCCACTGATTTTTACCACTGATTTTTACTCCTTGAAGGACCACTTTCAGTCTATGGCAGGAGGTGAGTAGGTGGGAAGTGAGGTGTGGGTTGGTTAATAGTTAAGTTCACATTGAAAGGCAGATGCAGGAAAAGAATGGGACTCTATTTTATTAGGAAATATTGAGCATCCATTCTATAAGAACCAAGGCCCATTGTGATCACAGGCTCTATGTACTAGAGGAGGTGGTTTCATATTTCCCAGAAACACCTTCTCTATTCTCTTCTTCCTTATAACAAACACCTTGACCTGCTATCATCCCCTGGTCTTTATGGTTTCAAGGCTCAAGGACCCAAGAACAAAGCCCTGGTAGCATCCCAAGATCAAGGATGACACCTGTAGGACAACTCCTATTTGAGCTCAGATCTGTCCAGAGGACAGAGGATGTGTCCCCAGAATCAACACTTCCTTAAAAATATGAAAGTATACAAAAGCTACCAGACAGAATTCTAGACTTGCTCATATAAAATAAAAATGAGAACAACAGGGGAATGACAAGTGCATAGAGAGATGATTTGGGGGCTAGTTTCTGTGGGGGTGAGGACACAAGCCAACCCTGAAGGGTGCAGGACTGTTTCACCCTCAGAGAACCCACCACCCACCAGTAGTAGGTGGCTGGCGTCCCTGATTTCCCATTCAAAAAACAAAACCCCACAAAAACTAGTGCATTCCCCTGGCAGCCAACTTACCACAAGACAGTAAGCAGAGACACAAGCAAAGGTGTACATCTCCTCAGTTTCTACCCTCCCTGGTGGGCGCTATTCAACTCTTATCAGTGGAAAGGCTACGGGGACACTGATTCCAGGCCATACTCCCTCCAGTCTCTGGGTCCCTGATACTTTCTACAAATAGAGAAGGGCTTTACCTTCCTCTGGATGACTCAGAATTGGAAAAATCCATCTACCTTGACCTTTGATTTGAGAATCAAAGCCCAGGACACAAGGCCAGGGAGAGCCGCTTCTGACCTAACAGCCTGGCATGGCAGGAACTCCTGGTGAAGGCACCTTAGCCTGACCAAGGGGTGGCAGAACTACCAGACTGCACCTGTCACTTTCCAGGATTTCTGAGGCCTCGGCCTGGGCTGTGGGCCATGCTGTCTTCTGTCCCCAACGAGAAACACTCCCCCTGTGCTACCAAAGGGGAAACTGAGGCCCGGAGGACCAGGAGAGAGGAAGCCAATCATGTGTCATGCACCGAAACAGAAAGAGACCCAACTCTGCAGCCTTCAGTTACCCCTCCTGTTCTGGGGGTGTGACTCCATGCACCGAGATGGCAGCATATATTAGAATCGGGGATGAGCGAGGGTGAGATTCTGGCCCAAGTCCCTAGAGACCTCTTAGGAAGAATGGCTTTCCTGGAGGGATGTCACCATTTGGGGGCAGCGTGGCTGGGCCTGATTGCCCTCCCCATTGGCCCTCAGCCAGCTCAGTAGGCTTTGTCTTTGGCGTGTGTTCTCTGGTGAGTGATGAAGTTAGAGCTGTTGCTAAAGCCCTTGCCACACTCGGGGCACTTGTAGGGCCTCTCCCCCGTGTGGATGCGCTGGTGGATGATGAGGACGGAGTTCCAGCTGAAGCCCTTACCGCACTCAGGGCAGCGGTAGGGCTTGTCCCCCAAGTGGGCACGCTGGTGCATGACCAGGATGGAGCCGCGGCTGAAGCTCTTGCCGCACATTAGGCACTGGTAGGGCTTCTCACCCGTGTGCGTCCGCTGGTGCACCGCGAGCTGCGAGCGCTGGCTGAAGCCCTTGCCGCACTCAGCACACTTGTATGGCTTCTCGCCAGTGTGAACTCGCTGGTGCTTGAGGAGGTTGGAGCTCCAGCTGAAGCTCTCCCCACACGTCAGGCACTCATAGGGCTTCTCGCCAGTGTGCGTGCCCTGGTGCGCGATGAGGCTGGAACTCTGGCTGAAGCTCTTGCCACACTCGCCGCACTTGTAGGGCTTCTCCAGCAGATGTGTGCGGCGGTGTGTGGCCAGGTTGGAGCTGCGGCTGAAGCTCTTGCCGCACTCGCCGCACTGGTAGGGCTTCTCGCCCGTGTGTGTCCTCCGGTGAGTGATGAGTGCCGAGCTCTGGCTGAACCTTTGCCCGCACTCGGCGCACTTGTAGGGCTTCTCGCCTGTGTGGATCCGCTGGTGCCGGATCAGGTTGGAGTTATAGCTGAAGCTCTCCCCGCACTCCTTGCACTCGTACGGCTTTTCGCCTGTGTGGATGCCCTGGTGCGTGTTAAGGCTGGACCGGTTGCCGAAGCTCTTCCCACACTCGGGGCACGAGTAGGGCTTCTCACCCGTGTGGGTTCTCTGGTGGGCAATAAGATTGGGGCTCCTGCTGAAACTCTTGCCACACTCGGCACACTGGAAGGGCTTTTCTCCCGTGTGGATCCTCTGGTGGGTGATGAGGTTTGCACTCCGGCTAAAGCTTTTCCCACAGTCTCTGCATTTGTAAGGTTTCTCCCCCGTGTGGGTGGTTTGGTGTCTGCTGAAGTTGGAACCATCGCTAAAGCTTTTCCCACATTCATTGCATTTGTAGTATTTCTCTCCTGTGTGGGTCCGCTCATGAGTGATCAGGTGGGATTTCCGGCTGAAGGTTTTCCCACACTGGGGACACTCATAGGGCTTCTCACCCAGATAGGTGCCCTGAAGGCCAATGAGCTGCCCGACTTCCCTGCCCTGAGAGGGCACCTCCCTGTGGTCCCCACTCGGGGCATTCCCCTGTGGCCCCCTGGAGCCACAGTCTCTTTCAGAGTCACTTTCCCAGTCGGATTGCGGAATGCCTTCCCCTTCTGGCATTTCTGAGAACATCTCATGTGTCTCAGCGTCCTCAAATAGATCCTGATTGGAGTTCTCCCCATTGTCACTCTGGATCTCAAAATCTGAAACAGTGAAGAAAGACATATGATTTACACTCAATTTCCTGTAATGATGAGAGAAGGAAAGGAAACCCAAGTGAAATATTTAAAAAATTAAACTAAAGAAAATTAAGAGGCTAAAGGATCCTCAAAACTTTTAAAAAACCAGGTTCATTTCCTTCTTTGTGATTATCTAGTTGTCAGAACTTATACCCACTTGGTGATCACCCAGAATTTCTAAGTCTTAAAGATTTGGGTTGTAGGTCTGTACCTGTTTCTCCATTGAGAAGTGAAGTCAGGTGGGAATCTAAAAATCCTAATCAACGGAAAGCAACAGGGTACACAGTGACCCCCAATACTCACCCTGGCAGGTGCTCAATTAAATTTGGAGAACGAATGAAAGGGTTTTTCATTGGTACCAGAGAAATTTCCCTAAAGCTCAGTCTCCTTTCAAAAAGAACAAATATAATAATTTCACCCATTACAGTATATCCTGTGTTTATAATCTTATTAGATTATAGTAAATAAGTAAGACACAGACAAGATGATAGGGCCCCTGCAACAAGGACTCTAGGTGTCTATACGATGACAAGTGGGCGGTTAGAAGAGCCTTAAAATGTATCTGCAGTAGGAGCTTACGGTTGGACCTCCCATCAGTAATATAAAATACCTACCAACCAGAAACTTGTCAAATTCTGCTGCCCAACACTTATCAAACATTTTGGTGGAAGAAACCAGGAGGGGGCACCTGAGTGGCTCAGTTAAGTATCTGCCTTTAGCTTGGATTGTGATCTCAGGGTCCTAGGATTGAGTCCCTCATTGGGCTCCCTGTTCAGGGGGGAGTCTTCTTCTCCCTCTCCCTCTGCTCCTCCCTTTGCTTGTGCTTTCTTGCACGCTGTCTCTCTCAAATAAAAAAGTAGAATCTTAAAAAAAAAAAAAAAGAAGAAGAAGATGGAAGAAAGAAATCAGAAGGGCATATTGCTGACAACATATGTGTCGCCTTCCTTCACTGAGAAACCCTGAATTTTATTCCAGGATCCAGCCGTGGAGAGCAGTGAGCCTGGACCTCACTGTTCTGAGGCCCATAGAAACTGAGCCGCATGTTGATTTCATGGCTCTGGCCGACAGTCATGAACGGTCTGAGAAGTGTCATCAGAAATTAATGGCTGGGGCGCCTGGGTGGCTCAGTGGGTTAAGCCGCTGCCTTCGGCTCAGGTCATGATCTCAGGGTCCTGGGATCGAGTCCTGCATCGGGCTCTCTGCTCAGCGGGGAGCCTGCTTCCCTCTCTCTCTCTCTCTGCCTGCCTCTCCATCTACTTGTGATCTCTGTCTGTCAAATAAATAAATAAAATCTTAAAAAAAATGTATTTAAAAAAAAAAGAAATTAATGGCTGTCAGGAATGTTAACACTGCCAGAAAGTTGTTGGCAACACTGTTTATGCCACACAATGTCCTCTTGATGAACAAGAAGGAAATTTCCCTCTCACCGACATTCCCAACAGCATTGCTGTTCTGTGCCTCTGATGTGTTTGCCTCACAGCTCTAGTTGTGGTGCCCTCTCTGCCTCGCCTCCTTGGAAGCTTGGAGCCACACGCTCAGAGAGAATACTGGATGTCTGTACAGCCCAGGTTCTTTCATTTTTCCCTCCCAGTATTTCGTTTTCTGCTATAAAATTTCCTTGTGCTTGCTCCCTCCCTCCCTCCCCCTCCCTTCCTTCTTCCCTCTCTCCCTCCCCGCCTCCCTCCTTCTTTGGCTAATCTTTCCTTTATTATTTCAATTTTAGTATATGTGTTGCCGAAGCGAGCACCCTTATGCTCTCTTTCTGTAAGTTGTCTTCACTTTTCTTTTTGGAATTATGTAGGGTGTACAGAAATAAATCAATGATTTCTTGATCAGGATGATAGCCTGATTATTCCTAGCACCTAACATCAGACCTCTAGAGAAAGCACATCCATCCAGAACAGGGAAGACAATTAGTAAAATAATTACACGAGGTCCTAGTGACATTCCCATCACTGAAGCTAATAGTTTATTTAAAGTTGGATGGTCGATTCAGTGATTATTAGTTTCTGTAGGTGAAGGTAAATTTCTGTAGGTGCACAAGATAAAAACTGACACACCCTCAGGCAGACCCTGGGTTCTAGTTATGCTATCGGTCCACAGCAGACTGTATTTAACCGTACAAGTAGGCCTGTGATTCCACTTCATGCCCAGTAACACACATGCTGCTGGTGATCTTTGGCTCCAGGTGTCCGTCCAGGGGACAGATACAGGCACAAGGGGCACAGCGCATGCTCCCACATGGCCAGGACCAGGAGTCCTGCTTCTATGACCTCCTACAACAGGGTTTTTGCAAGTTTCTAGCACAGAGGTCGGCTCGCACCCCCCTTCTACAGGGTCCTTCAGGCAGAGGCCCCGATTTATTTTCTGCAAGAGAATACTGCCAAAAACATTTCTCAAAGTGACCAGTAGGGTCACCTGGGTGGATCAGTCCCTTGAGCCTCTGACAGTTGGTTTCAGCTCAGGTCTGATCTCAGCGTTGTGAGATCCAGCTCCAGGTCTTGGGCTCTGAGCTTGGCGGGGAGTCTGCTTAAGTTCCTCTCTTTCTCTCTCTGTCCCTCCCCCTGCTTACTCTGCACTCTCTCTCAGATAAATCATTTTTTTTTAAGAAAGCAGCCTTTTAAAAATTTTTATTTATTTTTTATTTATAGATTTTATTTATTTATTTGACAGAGAGAGACACAGAGAGAGGGAACACAAGCAGGGAGCATGGGAGAGGGAGAGGCAGACTTCCTGCTGAGCAGAGAGCCTGATGTGGGCTCAATCCCAGGACCCTGGGATCATGACCTGAGCCAAAGGCAGATGCTCAATGACTGAGCCACCCAGATGCCCCAATAAATCATTTTTTATCATTTAAAAAAAATGACTTTAGAAATTGTTCTCTTCAGAACAAGGACATTATCTAATAAGGTTTTCCACTGCCTTAAAATCAGAAGAACTGGTTGGTAGGTTCTATGAACTTGGAAGCAACAGGGAAAACAAACAAAAACTCAAACTGCATAAGCAGTGAGATTAGGAGGAAGATTAATTTGCAGACACCAAAATACAGACAAGGGCTTCCAGAAACAGCTGAGATAGGGCAGAGGCCAATGAGGCAGGAAGTGAAGAGAACGAGCGTGGAAAGTGGTGTGGGGGGAGGGGCATGGGGATAGAACTGAGGGGCACCTGACCTCAAAAAGTTCAGGCGGCGGGGCGCCTGGGTGGCTCAGTTGGTTGAGCATCTGACTCTTGATCTTAACTCAGGTCTTGATCTCATAAGTTCAAGCCCCACTTTGGGCTCTACACTGGGCATGGAGCTTATTTAATTAAAAAAAAAAAAAGATATAAAAAAAGCTGAGGCAGAAAATCACTTCCTGAAGGTAAGGGAGTCCCCCTCAAGAGCACCAGGGCATTCAAGAACTGGGACCAACAGGGCTGGCTTCTCCGGTTCAGAGAAGCACAGGAGGTGCTTCTACAGCCAGGATCCCCCAGACGACCACCCTCTGCAGGAAGCTTTGTTTCTGTAAAGCAGAAAGGAGAGAGCCTTTGACCCTCACACATTAATCATGGTAATTATAACTGAGAAGGTGACATTTTTCACGCATTAAAATCAAAATAAACAAGGGGCTCCTGTGGGGCTCAGTCAGAGTAGCCTCTGACTCTTGGTGGCAGCTCAGGTCACAAGATCAAGCCCCACCTCGGGCTCCCCCCTTAGCTGGGAGTCTGCTTAAGAATTCTCTCTCTCCCTCTGCCCCCCTCCTCCCTGTGTATACTCTCTTTCTCTGAGAAAAAAAAAAAAAGGGGAGAAAGAAACATTAAGAGAAACAACCGCTTCCAGGAAGGAAGACCCCACAGTACAAGTTGGAAGAGACAGGGAAACAGCAGGAAAAGATGGAGCGGGATATGGCAGGATGTGGAAAAGCAGAGGAAATCCAGAGACCGGAGCACAGGAGGAGGAGTGCAAAGGAGGACAGGCACGCTGGCAAGCAGAAAGGGAAAAGAAGGGCCGAGAAGAGCAGGGAAAAAAGGGGGAATGAGAAGGACAAAGGGATTAACAAGAAGGATGGAAAGAGAAGTTGGACTAAAGGAGAGCCCATCTACACATAGCTGGAGTTCTCAAACAGGGGAACTAGACCGGAAGAACAGAACAAACACGAACGGAGGAAGCTACAAGGACCCTGGGGTGGTGCACTGTGTTAGGAAGACTACTCCAGAGGTTAGCGATGAGATGGGACACAAGGCAAAAGGCTTGAATCAGTTATGTGGGGCAAGAGAACCACCTGGGCTCAGACTTCTCTATAGTGACATTCATATCTGCAGACACAAGGCAGACTAGAAAAGAAAGGGGATGCCCAGGATTTTGTCTTCAACAAAAACATCCTTAAAGTATCACGTTGGCAGGTAAACAACTTTGAATACGCACAAATTCTCAGAATATGGTTCCTATGAGCCCTTCGAGAGGGAACTACTAGGAAGTGAGCTTCGGTCCACCACCAGATGAAGGGAACTCGAGCAAACGGGCTGGGGATGAGCACTGGATACACCAGACTTCAGAACGAAGTCTCAAATGACTGTGGACATTACAATGAGAAGAGAACGTGGAGGCTACCCAGCAACGTAGAAATGGCACTCTAGCCAAATCTTGGGGTTAAGAGAAGGTGGGACAGAGGATATGTTCATTGACTGATATATGTTCATGGATTGCCTCCCTGACCCTAACCTCAAAGGGTACCATTTAAAATTGGCAATTCACACACCCAAAGTGCATGCAAGTGTCTCCCAGAGCAAAAATCAACCTTAAGGAGCACCTGGCTGGCTCTGGTGATAGAGCATGAAACTCTTGACCTCAGGGGTCATGAGTCTGAGCCACACTGGGTGTAGAGACAACTAAAAAAACAAAACAAACAAAAAACTTTAAAATGTTAAGACAGGATTACTGACTGAGACCAGGGGCTGGGGAGGGGAGGGACTAGCTTTGTCAGATG